TATATATATATATATATATATATACACACTGTATATATAGCTCAACATTTTTCAAATTCTTAACCCAACACTGAAAAAGTGACTAAAACATGCTAAACAAGGATAAAAGTAGCAGAAATAAGTTGAAATTAGCAGTTAGACGGTGAAAGGAGAAATTAAATAAAATTAGCAGACAAAAAAAGGAGTACAAAAAAGTTTAAAATTTGTTTTAAAATAGCCAAAAAAAATCAAAAATAACACAAAAACAACTAAATCAGAAGCTGAAGAAAGCAGAAATTAGCACAAAAAGGTAAAAATAAAAACAGAACCAGAACAAAAGTTGAAAGGTACTGTAAAGATTTATGAACATTTTGAATAAAGTTAAGGATGTTGAAGACAGCAAGATAAATATCTCAAAATGTATAAATTGCTGAAATACCAAAATTTACATCCAAACTGTACTGAAGGAGCTGAGTATTCTGATATATACAGTTTTGAAACAGCACAAAAATTATGGAACAAGTTATGAGCCCAAAAACGTACCGAAGAAAAAATGACCTTAATAATGTGAAAGTTTCTAGTATTGATTATAATCTCTGGATGCACATCCACAACTGAAAAACCTTTAGAGTGAATCCAAATCAAGATTAACACCAGCGCCAGCTGACAACAAAAAATGGTTCTGACTCAGTCAGTTTTACAGACATTGAGCTGAAATTTGATGTTAACGACTCTCAGCTACCATAACAACATAAACTATGAGCATGAGTACTTTCAAAGTTTGACCAAAGAGCTACAGCTCTGTCTTTTCTTAACATAATATGATTTTAGTCTAATGCTAACGCATTGCTTTAAGAACTGCTCTTTAATCTACCTAAAAGTTGACTAAGGTCATTGATTACTGACCCGTAAGGAATCCTCTTGTGTTGAACCATTTCTTTCTGACCGTCCAACAGCCACAAGATAATCTTCTGATTTTTCTCCATCTCCACTGCAGGTTCAGACCCGTCACAGGGCCGCACTTCTTCGCTCCTCTTTAACGCTCTCTTACACTGCGTACCACCTCTGTTGTTTCACAAATAAAAAAATAAATAAATAAATAAAATAATAAGAAGAAAAGCATAGAAGAGTTTGGCTCTACGACAGAAAACAGAGTTTGTTCCAGACCTGTAGCCTGTGTGTTCCCCAGGGATGGATCCCACGCCACCATCTGCGAAGCTGCGAGACTTTACGGCGTAATGACTCGCCTCTGAGCTCCATGGAAAACCACCGTGTGCATGTGTCTCAGCCTCCATCTGCTCTCTGGGCTTTCCCACTCCTGCCTGGTGGATGTGATGCACGTGTCTGTGATGGTGCGCGTGGCCCGTCTCCCCTTTAAAGCCGTGCCTGGTTGGATGTTTACCTGGGCCTGACTGGCCCACCCCTTTGAGTCGTGGGAGGCCATCCGGGGAGCAGGACTTGGGAGAGTGGCGGTCAGCCCCTGGAGACTCGCGGCCGGGCGTCTTCATGACCCGCTGGACGTGGTCGTCCAAGATGAGCTCTGGGTTTTCCTCGTGGGCGTCTCTGTAGGTTGTGTCAGCGTACCGGGGGTTGTAATTCAGTGAGTAAGCACTAGGGGGCAGCCTGAGACTGGAGAATAATGAGGCTGAGGATGTGGGGACTTCATCGCCCTCTTCCTCCTTTAATGCAAAAACACAAAACAGGATCAAATAAGAGACAATAAACTGTGTAAACAAACACAATTTACTAGTTTCTATTTTAACCTAAAAAGAACAGATTTGACTTTTTCTAACACCAAAAATGTTTCACTTGTTACTGAATCTGAATAAATCTGTGAACAAATCTGGAACACAAGCCACTGGTACTCATTGCACAGTCCTGTCATGACAGACGCAGGGAACAAAACTGTAGGACAGAATCTGCTGCGAGCAGAGTTGTAAAGTATCTAAGTACAAATACTTCTTTACTGTACTTAAGTATAATTTTTGAGTATCTGTACTTTACTTGAGTTATTTTTTTCAGCCTACTTTTTATTTCTACTTCTTACATTTTCACACAATTTTCTGTACTTTATACTCCTTACATTTTTTTAAAAAAGGCAAAAAGTAGAAAGTCGTTACTTTTATTTCATTTTTGCTTGTTTTCACTCCAGCTTGTTATTGTAAAAAATAAATACTATCCATATAAATTGTGCCTCCTAGATAGTGAATTTAATTGTGGTTGAATGAGAAGTATAAATATATAAAATTCTGATACTGTATTAGTTTGTACACAAACAAATCATGTCACAGTCCAGCAGGACATACTCATTCAAATAAAAGGACTGTACTTAAGAAGTATTTATATTTCATGAATTATATTATTGCATTCGGCCGCAGCCCTCAGATAGATTTTRATTTTGGGGAAAAGCTTTGTGCAGCCTTGATACATGTATAAAAACTGAAACAGCTAGACTAGTGCATCCTAAATTTAACATAAATTCATTATTTTAATACATTATAGTCATTTCTGCAGTTTTTTGAGGAGGTCACCTCCTAATAAATGTGATTACAGAAAATCTAACTGCTCATTTTAAATCAATACTTTTACTTTTAATACTTAAGTACAAAGAATATCAGATACTTTAAGACTTTTACTCAAGTAATATTCCTAAAGGATACTTTAACTTTTACCAAAGTATTTTTTTGGCAAGATACTTGTTCTTTTACTCATCACTTTGTGGTACTTTATAGAACACTGGCTGCGAGGATATTTACTGGGTGGGGGGAATGCAGCTTTTATATTAGGTGTTGATATATTTTTCCTTTGTTTTCACATTTAGCAGATTTACTCTTATATTTCCTTCTAAACATCTCCTCTCAGATTCTACACTGACTCCATCATGTTCACCTACAGATTACAGTCAGCCTCATATGGATCGATCATGTCACTCCTGTTTTTTGGTGGATTCAGACAAGTGCTTTGTTTATATCGAGTGCACACCCACATATCAGAATTGCGAAACATTTGGAAAACTACTGGAGTGAACGCTTTTAAAAGGAGACATTTGATGCTTTAAAATCCTTTTTCACATTTAAATCTATATAATCTGGAACTGAAATGCTTTGGTTTAAATTCCTCCTTATTGTAACCTTTTCTGAGCTGTGTCTCAGATCAACTCGTTTTGAGGCTGTCTCTTTAAATCCAAACGAGGCACTTCACACCCCGCCCCCCTCCAGCTTCCAGACTGGTCCATTCTAGTTTGATAGAGGGGTTTACGACTGAAACATTTTGTTTATAAATGAATAAAAGATGTCAGCAACCGAAGACTTGTCCATCCAGCCTTGTGTCGCGTTCACACCAAATGCAATTTCAGCTTCAAAATCGCATCCAACGCTTCAAGCTGGACGCTTGTGCACTTTGAGGTCAGACGCAGGTCAGCTCTTGAAGCACTCGCACGGCAAGAGCCTCCCCGCCCCTCCCTCATCTATCAGGCTCTGTTTAATGTCGGACGAGGAAGTGCTTTGCTTTATTTACAGACAGCAAGAGCATGTCACGTTCATCAGATATTAATTCATAATTAATTCACCAGATAATTCAGAGACATTCTGAGTTTCATCACCCAGGAGCTGCGGGAGAGGCTCACAGCTCGCTTTCAGGACTATTTTTGTCCCGAGTCCAGTCTGATGAGTCGCTGCCACGCATCGGTGCGGATACTGTATCTCCTGTCAGGACACCGACTGCAGGCACTCGATTTCAGCTAAAGAGCTCCTCTCCGTCTGTTTCAGGTTAGTGGACATCATTCAGTAAACTGTCCCGTCGGGAAATATGTCGCTACGTCACACAGTGGAGTCTCTCTGATTGGTTGACGCGGCGCGTCGAGCTGCAAAAGTTCAGATTTTCTAACTTCAGCGATTTGCTCATCAAACACGTCGAACGCTCAGATCGTTCAAATCGCGCTGCTCTAATCGCGCTTGAGGCGCCGCAGCACTTCCCGACGCTGATTGAAGCGTGTCCTCCATAGACTTTGCATGTAAACCTGAGGCTCCTGATGCTGAAATTGCGTTTGGTGTAAACGCACCATCACATGTTGGAGCCAGAGTCTGACCCAGAGCCAGAAGAGAATGAAGTTGGTAAGTCCAGAACTTATTTGTCAATTCCATCGTGAAAAATATGATGTAATACTTTAGAAAACATCATCAAAAATAAATAAAACTGAACGGGCTGAAAACTATGACTCAAATAGAAAATAGGCATCTTTGCAGCACCGGGAGGAACTAAATTGAACTTTCTGCACTCCTAGAAACTTCAAGTACACAACCAAATGTATTTAATGCTAAAAAAATGGATTTTGTACGATACGTCTCAATTTTTGATATAGCTCAGGATAACCTTTGATATATATTTTTTTTATTATTTTACAGTTTGCATTGAGGACATTCAGTTGCTCAGCCTTAGCTCAGAATATTTCCAAATTAAGGAAGTCATTGCATTTTTACCTTCAGCCCTTTTTTTTTTATATAAAGCAGAGCTAAATCTCTGTGATGGCAGCTTCAACTTCTTTCCTTTCAGGCACCGCCACATAAATCGTTCACTCAGGGAGTCAATAGTTGGCACCGAGTACTGAGGGAGATTTCATTTGCGGTAACGGCAACCTTTTCATCACCGTTCAAGTGGCATCAAACAAGCGTCTCACTCTTCCAGGCTTACAAGTGGCCGAGTGTGCAGGTGCTCCATCTGATTCATTGACTAAGCCAGATTGCTGTCAGGCCAAGGACAGAATTCTCCAAATGATTCATCTCGCTTTACTCCACGCTCACACGGCTGGCCTCGTTTATTTCATTAGGGACAGATGGGTTTAGGCTTCCTTTGTCTCTGAAAGTTAGAAACCTGATGGCCCGGTACACACATGTCCACCTGTCAGGCTTCCACTGACACGCTCTGCAATCAGCTTATTAAATCGTCCTGTTATTTCTGTAAAGTAAGGAATAAAATGCTCTTTGATATCATTTGCACCATGACAATTCTTCAAAACTATTTAATCTTTTCTGGCTGCTTCAACAAGGAGCGTTTCTTCATAGTTTCAGTTCAAAACATTGTCTGATCATAAAGATCTGACGTTCTTCGTTATTATTGCCCGCCGCCGAAGGCAAAAGGCAATAAGGTTTTTGCCCATGTATGTGGTTGTTTGTCTGCGGCTTTAGCAGAATATCTCTTGAACCACTGGATGGATTTTAATACAACTTATAAAATAATCACAACAAATGTTTATTACTCTTTGAAGACAATCCCATTTAAAACGGCTGTCACTGCCAAATGCCTTTAGGAAACACAAAAAAGCAGACAATTTTACAGATACTGAGCTAATATTTGGCGTCGTAATAGCTGAGAATTATCCCCAACACATGTTCTGAGCACTACACACTGCATAGGACTTCTGGTTAAAACTTTGGCATTTTGGAGCAGTTCGCAGTCGAGTGTGAAGCGGCCGGGATGAAGATCAGTGCCTCCAAATTCGAGACCACGATCTTGAGCCGTAAAAGGGTAGGGTGAATTCTCCGGGTCGGGGAGGAGGTCCTGCCCCAATTGGAAGAGTTTAAGTGTCTCAGGATCTTGTGCACGAATGAGGGAAGAATGGAGCGGGAGATCGACAGGCCAATTGGTGCTGCGTCAGCAGTGATGTGGGCGTTGTACCGGTCTGTCGTGGTGAAGAGAGCTGAGCCAGAAGGTGAAGCTCTCGATTTACCAGTCGGTCCATGTTCCTACCCTCATCTATGGTCACGAGCTTTGGGTAGTGACTGAAAGAACGAAATCGCGGATACAAGCGGCTGAAATGATTCCTCTGCAGGGTGTCTGGGCTCTCCCTTAGAGATAGGGTGAGAAGCTCAGTCATCCAGGAGGGACTCAGAGTAGAGCCACTGCTCCTCCACGTTGAAAGGAGCCAGTTGAGGTGGTTCATCTGGTTAGGATGCCTCCTGGACGCCTCCCTGGTGAGGTGTTCCAGCCATGTCCCACAGGGAGGAGGTCCAGAGGAAGACCCAGGACACGCTAAAGGGACTATGTTCTCGGCTGGCCTGGGAACACCTTGGGATTCCCCCGGATGAGCTGGTCCAAGTGGCTGGGGAGAGGGAAGTCTGGGTCTCTCTGCTTAGGCTGCTGCCCCCGTGACCCGACCCCGGTTAAGTGGAAGAAAACGGACTGAGATTTTAACTCTGTCCCTTTTCAGATAAGATGGTTATAGTTTAAAATTCTGGCGTGAAAGGCAGGTATCTGCAGCTTTTAGCAAGTCAAATGAAAGACTTTTTAAGACCTTTTAATGCCACCTTGAATTAAACTTAAGACCCGGAGTTTGGTCACATGTGCAAGTTGCACACGTCTGTAAAATTACGACAATGCTTCAAACACATTAACTTTTAATACAAAGTTAGACTTTCGATACAAATGTCTCGGGCAGGTCGGGGCTCAGTTCGGGAAGACGGGTGGAACGTTCAGGTTTCTCCTCGGCAGCAAAAAGTCAGAGCATCTCTGATTACCTCACCTGCGATTATGATTCTGCTCACAGACAGCAGGACCTGCCCTGCTCTGCTCTGATTGGCTAAAACTGTGACTCTGGTTCTCTTTATTTGTTGAAAGCTGCGTCAGTTAATCCATCAACACTGGATTGAAGAACCACAACAAGACAAGTTGTTTTTTTTCCTCATCCTTACCATCAGGAAATGCGTTGCAGAGATGACTGGGAGAGACGGAGAACTTTAAGCGCTTTTGTCCGACAAAATTTAAGACCTTTAGTAACATATTTAAGACCAACTTGCACATTTTTAACAAATTCAAGGTTTTAATTTTAGATACATGAATTTAAGACTTTTCAAGTACCTACAGACACCCTGGATTGGTTTCTTTCAAAGAAATAAAGACCATTAATRATTTAAATGAAATTTCATTTGAAATTGAACATCTTTAGGTATCCATATTTTAACGTGTTAGCAGTGACGCCCACATTTTCATCCTACCAGCATGACTGGAATGTGTAAAATAGAGAGCGTAGGTTGTTGTACCATATTTAATGTAATTGATCCAAGACGACGTTCTTCAGTGTGAAACCCTCTCTCCTTCACGTGCTTAATTAAATTATCAAAGTGCTGAATCAGCTTGTGCTTTTAGAGACAGAAAGTAAAACAGTAAAGGTACCAGTCGGACTCTCTTCAGCCGCTCTTCCAGTTTCTCTCGCGCCTCCCTCTCCTTCAGGACGCCCTCCAGTTTCCCGATCAGCTCGGCGGCGAACCTTTCCGGRTCCACGTGGATATCCTTAGGAATCCGGGTTGTGCGCTGGAGGAGGAAAAGTCAAACTGTGAGCAGGAAGTTTGGTCCACCTCCGTTGTTACTGTCAGGAACAGTTTGAGCACCTCAGCTCCTCTCTGAGACTGAACTGAAGAGATTTGCTTTCAGAAGGACTGTAAACGTGAATTTACCAACGTTTAAGCTATAGTTTTAGACCAAGATCATCTTCTATTGAGAAATAACAGAGTTGTTTTAGTTTAGTGAAATGCAATATCACATTATGTTAAGAAAACTGTCCATCTTTTTTCCCCATTCAGGCACTAATTACACTTTACTTTCAAATAACATTACTGAACCTCAGCCTTTTGTTAAAACATACGTTCAATCATTTAAAACAGTGATTTCCACAATATGATATTCACATTCTTGAGTTTGGACCTGAGGTTTAAACTTAATATTCGTATTATAATCCTTCACATATTTGCAAAACATTCACAAAAAATATTCTGATAGCATTTTTGTTTTGCATGTGTAATTTTGCGATTATTATAAAATACATTTGCTTTTAAATCCTTTTTCACATTTAAATCATTCAGCTGGGGTCTATATAAAGTGGAACTGCGATGCTTTGATCTGAATTCCTTATTAATGTAACTCCACAAGCCTCTCTTTGACCCRTTTCTGGGGTGTGTCTCAGATCAACTCGTTTTGAGGCTGTCTCTTCCAGATCAGTTCTTTCTAGTTTGASAGAGGTGTTACGCAGCGCAAAAGCGTTTTATTTACAAACTAAATTAAATCAGTTAAGTAAATTCAACATTGCATTTTTACAGTGCATATACTTTGACGTAATAGTTCAGAAAACATAGAAAATAGAGAAAACTGAACAGGCTGAAAAATATGACCCAAACAGAATATAAAGTTACCTACGCAGCACTGGGAGAAACAAAAAWTTTTTTTGCACTCCTAGAGACCCCGAATACAACAAAATGCATTTATTGGCTAAAACGGTGGATTTTTGCATGGCATGTCCCCTTTAACTAATGAGGTTAATAAAACCTATTTTTAGACAGCAAACATAATCTCCTTAYTAAGTACTCAAGTGATGTGGATTTCTCTGCTGCAGACAATTCAATTCAATTCAATTCAAAAATACTTTATTGATCCCAGAGGGAAATTAGGACATGTTTATTCAAAGCTGTTAAAAATATATGAAAATGAATTTAAGTAAAACAGTATAGGAGGAGAAATTAATATTCAAAAAACAAAACTTTAKGCCAATTCTTCTAACCAACACATTTATAAAATACTAAATAAAACAGCACAGATTTGCTCTCCGTTCTTTAGTCGATCCTTACAATCTAATAGGGAGCTATGTGTGGAGTTATAATTTCACTCTTCACTCCGAGGCCTAATTAGGGCCAAGGTTTTCCTACGAAGYAGCAGCAGAAGCTGCAGAGGGAGGCATCAGGCTGTCACACAGGAGGATTCATGTCTGCTAGACTTCAGCGCGCAGCAGCTCAGGCAGGCATCAAGCTGCATTTAGACAGCCTTCTTTTTCACCATCAGCTATTCTTATACCCCATCACAAGCRGTGGAACACAGCGCAGCCTAAATATGCACATCTCCAGTGGTGGAGCAGAGAAATGTTAAGCAGAAACAGACAGTTACAAAGAGAGGGATGTAGAGGCAGAAAGTGGGGGGGAGAGAGAGGAAAGAAGCCATGAATAACTCACAGGTAAATGAGGTAGTGGCACTCGCCCATTCGCTCTGGCACTTTCGTGCATCTCCCGGCGATGCTGTTTGCGGTATCGGAAGGGTGGAACCCCATCTCTGGAATTAACAACAAAGAAATTTTCATAAAACAGACTCATGAATAAACAACAGAGGCAGCTTTGAAGTTGAGCGCTTCTCACAGCGTTTATTTTTTTATTTTGCCTGAAACAAACACCAAAAAAGTCTGGATTCTGGTGTCCCTGATGCACCACGTGTGGTCCAGCAGATCACACGCATGAATGTGTAATCCTGCGTAGTACTGGTCGTACTGGTTTTCACTCTACCCTGCGCCGAAAGCTCAGAAGCAATTAGCTTTTAATCCATTCAGCTTCAAAAACATTTTTGTCCAGCTGCGCAAACATTGAAGCCTCTTCGGATAAAACCACCCACTGAATCTGCACCAAAAACAGATTATTCTTTTAGATATTTCTTTCAGTAGGACTCAGGACTTAACTTGATCCATGGACTCCACTGAAGTCTAAGCTTTAACAAATCACGGATGACTAAAAATTATGATGCTGGTTTCAAAATTTGTGAGCTAAATAAGCTACAGTAAAGATTAGGGGTGTAAGAAAATATCGATACACTGAAATATCACGATATTTCATTTCCCGATACTGTATCGATATTCTAAAGCCCTGTATCGATTTTTTATTAAGGTTTAAAATGTCAACTTTCCTGCCAGCCGTTCATTTTTATGTTGTAGTTCAGCCTCTGACCACTAGTTGGCAGCAGTGAGCCAGCCATTTGGCTCCTCTACCTCTTGAGGTAGAGGCCATTGTTAAGTGTTGGGTGACCATATTGTAAATTAATATTAAAAACTAAAAGCTGCAAAAAATATATGTTCAAATTATTTATTGTCAAATTTAGTCTAATAATTGAAAACATGGATGAAATAAGAAATATGAAACAAATAAAATAAAATACATACAAAGCATAACAGTTAAATGTATCAAAAGCATGTCTCTGTAATATTAGAATTTTCTGAGACAACGAATTTTGGTTTTTCATTTTTTCCCCCGTAAGAGGTTTTTATTTAATAGAATTTTTGGACAAAAAATCCCAATATATCGCAATATATCGCCTTGCTTATAGTATCGCAATATATCGGGATATATCGTATCGTGACCCCTCTGTCATGATATGTATCGTATCGCCAAATTCTTGCCAATACACAGCTCTAGTAAAGATTGGTTCTTTTAAATCAGTAGGTAAGGATTCTCATTCCTGTGCATTATGTTGATTCAAATGGAAGGAAAAATGAGTTGAACGGTTGATTAAAGGCAACTGATGAGATCGTCTTTTGTAAGAGATCACACAAATGGGAATTTTGGGTTCAGATATTAACTTCACCAGCATTAGAGCCCTGCATGATTAGATTTAACAACCCCTGTGCTGAATGCATTTGTGTGATACTTACACACTGCTGTCTGTGAGGGAAATGGTTTCTGCGTCACTGGACATGCTCTGCTGCTCGCTATCGTTAGCGCTGGTAGCTGGAGCCAGAACGTGACCGGTGTTGACGTAGTATGGGTTGATGGGCTCCCGGCACGATGCATGCCTGAAACAGGAAAGGAAAGAAATGCACAGAAATCTGTAACTGAGTTTATTTGAAATCAAGCCCAATGCACAGCTGCTACCAGAAAACGACTGCTTTTATACAGTAGGTCCCCATCTAATGCTTTCACTTTCTCCATTTAGAAATTTCATACTTTTTCAGGCACAATTTTTCTTAAAATTGTTGAAATTTATGCCATTTTTGACATGAAATGTCAAAAAAATATGACACAAAAATATGTACAATAGGTTGCCTTCATGCCCAGGCTGCTCTTGCAAAAGAGATCTGCAATCTCAATGGGAGCTGTCTTGTTAAATAACAGTAAAAAAAAGGTTTGTAAATTTATTGTGAGTATTTATACAGAGGTGGGGGTCTTATTGCGCAATTATTCATCAGAAAAACTTTACTGGATTATTTTTTTGGCACAATAATTCCACCAGGAAGACTGAGTGGAGATTTCCCTGGTCAGTCCGCTCGATGCTCCTTTCCATTTCAGATATGATGAACATTTAAAAAAAGTTCTTGACTTTATTTACCATAATTCTAGTTTTACTTGACCTATCAACATAATTTAAAAACTGATGTATAGCCTGAAGTCTGTAKATTTGACGCAATTTGGAACAGATTTTACAGAAAGCAAATCTTTCCCACTAGAGTGATTTAAACTGGTCAAGTGACTAGGACATGAAGGCATCCAGGGACTCGGGATTAATCGTCATATTATGTCATTTTATTGGCTAAATGCCACAATTACTTAGGATTAATTTATGTGCCAATATCTCCCAACCCTAGTAAAAGGTTAATAATCTTCAAGCATTAGCGATACCATAAAAGGCGCAACTTTAGGGAGTAAATRAGGGTTAGAAATCTTCTCTAAATATATCAACATTAACATACTTAAACCCTAAATCTGACTTTTAATTTGGTGGATAACGTATTTCTTTATTAAACAGCAAACGTGGAAAAAACTCTGAGTGAAATAAATACACTAAGTGTAGGCAGACCAACTAAATGTTACAGTTTAAAACTGTCCTTGTGTKCCATTAGTTCGATGTATGCAAATATACTAGCTGGTAACACTGTTTGTTGTTACCACACTAAGTCACTCTGAATGAATCGGAGAAGCGTAACACCACTCTGTCAGAGATGCACATTATTCCCACAGTATCTACAAATAAAAAGGGGGTGGGGGGGGGTCTTTATTTGACACCGTTCACACTTAGCAGAACAGACCTCTGACAGGGCTTGTGTGCATGAATTATAGATGCCATGCATCATTATTTTTTATTCAAATTGGAATCCCCTGAAGCATTTACCCTGAGCTTCTCCCTGCTTGGAATGCAGAAGCGCGCGTTCACATGAAACCTTTGTGACCAACAAATCTTTATTAACATCAACAGACGATGGAATATCATTTACAACTCCAAGATGGTGAAAGGGCAGCATAAACAAAAGAAAAGAAAAAGGCAATTAAGTGAATGTTGTTAATTAGAAAAGCGTGACCTTAGGAAATTAGTATCTAATTTAGCATGTGGTTTGAACAGATCAGGAAACATTTTACCAAAACATCCATTTCCATTTAGTAGAAGAATCAAATCACACAGACCTAATTAGGAATAATTGTCTGAAATGAGCTCTTTAATGTGAAGCAGATTAAATTCTGATTTGTAACATTTAACCATAAGTGATAGAAATATACCATAATTGAACTATCTTCTCAATTCTGCTGTCTTTGTGGGGTCCATATGACCCCACTCATGTTTGGTGTGGCGGTGGGGTCCTCCCAATCCCCACCTGATTAAGCGGTGGTTGGAGGGGCAAAGTGGGGTTGGGGTGGGGCCGATAGGTGGTGTTTGTGAATGGCCTGGCTGGCTCCCCGACAGGCAGCCTTGACTTTTACTTGCTAGCTTTGTTAGTGCGCCAAAAAGCCAGTACAGAACATTAAAATGCAAAAATGCAAAATGCTCTATATATTGGAATTGTTTTCTTTAAAAGCTTTCTTTTTGAACAAAAACAAAGCGTTTTGCTAATGTTGTAAAGCTGAGTAATAATAAAAGTCATCATTAAACAAAAGTAAATATGTAGTTAAGTTTACTTCGCCAGTTCTTTTCAGCAGATAGAGAGTAACGATAACGTCAATCTGAAAGAAACACATTTGCTTGTACACATTGTTGTTTTCGTGCTTGTATCCCGAAGAGAATAAAAGCTCGTCTTTGAAATTCACGTCCCGCTAGAGTGAGAACAAAACTAAACAGTTTCAAAAGTTCCCCCAAAACATTAATGAGCACAAAAGCCATTCTCTTTCAAGTCGTCTCACTTCTTGAAGCTGATCTGAAAGACTTTTTAATGTCTTCTGTTGGCATTCTCTGAAGGGATCCAACACAACTGCTGTAAAATTTAGTTTCACAAAAAAAAAAAAAAAAGAAACACCGAGTGATGCTAAGAGGCTATTTAAATATGAAGCGTGTCTTTTTTTCTTCTACTTTTTTGTAATTCCAGCCAAACGCTTGATTACTAAAAAAAATTATGTAAAAAAAAAACTATGAAGGAAAAGTTCATTCAGTTTAAACAAGTTTTCATTGTTTGGCTTGACGATCTTTACATGCACATGGCTGACACCCCTGAGGTGMTTTGTTGGGTGGAGAGTTATTTTTTTTAAATTATTTTTTGGACTGTTTCAGATCAGATTTAAAGCACTGATCTACAACAAATGTGCTGCCTTTTCTGCAAACAAGCATTTGCATTTTGCAGATACTGGAAAAATGTGATGAGATGTAAGAAAACTWAACGCTAGCAGGAAACTGGGGGTAAAATGTGCAGCAGCAGAGTTCATTTCTGGCCAATCGTGTATTTTACTAGATGGAATGGTAATAAAGGTTTACTCTGTGTCTGCTCCTAAGTGCTGCATTGTGCGTTGTGACACAGAGAGTAGGTATTGTCCGTCTGTCTGTCAGCTGATGTGAATTCCTGTCTGTCATCACAACCCTGCTGCTATGAGAACATCTCTGTGATGTCCAATCGGGATGCACCAGGAAGAATTGTGTGTCAGAAAGACATTATAGTGAAACAGACAGTGYTGGGATGCAACAACTAATCGATAAAATCAATAAAAATTGATTATTAAAAGTTTAACAAATTTAATTATCGATTTGTTGTGTTGGATAATTTATGATGGTATTAATTTAACGATTAATCTTTGTTTTAATTTGCTGACAATGTCTGAGTGAAGACACTTACCTACTTGTCTTAACATGGCAAATAAAACAAGTCATTWAATGAATTCTTGTAATAAGCAGCTGTGTTCTTAACATGATCATCCCTGACATGAMACCGTCCATGGTCAGAGATAAAGACTTCTTCACTATAATAGTTCACACTTTTATTTCAGGTTACACTCGTCCCTCATGGACATATTTTACAAAGCTCATGGAGAGAAAACATGAGACTTTCAAGGATATTATAGTAACACAAATCTCAAATGGCAAACTGTTTTTTGTGCAATTTGCCAAGTCAGTCCAAATTTTCTATTTTGGAATAAAGAGGTCAATATATATATATATTTTCAATTTATCGATTAATCTAAAAAATAAATTGAACAATTAATCGATTATTATAATAATCATTAGTTGCAGCCTTAGTGACAAAGTACAAGAAATTTGTAAAAAAAAAACTTTGTTACTGTATTTAAGTAAACATGGGTACTTTCAACTTTTACTCCACTACATTTTACTTTAAGTATCTGTACTTTCTACTCCACTACATTTCTGTAATGTGTTGCATTACAAGTTACATTCACATCACATTATGTTTTTTTTAATGTTTTTTTAGTTTGACAGTAATCAATGGTGAGAGGGGAARTGCTGTAACTGGTCCACTGAACCACTGCAAAGCAGGAAAATACCATTAGACCCTCCTTCAAGACGAGCAGGGTTGGTTCCACATCCTGCTGGAGCATCAGCGACACAAGCCCACCCACAATGGATTCCATCACAGAGAGTCAGCCTGAGAAAATGTACCATCCACGGCCTCATTTATTCAAGACTTATTCAAGTTCACCGGTTCAAAAAACGACTCGTGGAGATGATGAATTTACAGCTTCTGCAGCGTTGTTTGCCAAAATGGTACACAATTTATGTGTTAAAAGTATACATACAGTAGGCACACCATGATAGGGCTGCCACAAACGATTATTTTTATAATCGATTAATCACCAATTATTTTTTCGATTAGTCGACTAATTGGATCATATGTTAATTGAATATAAACATACAGCTTATCGCGCCAGAATGCAGCTGCTATTATATAACCATGGTTAGATTTTAGCTATATGCTAACTGAAAATAATTGCTGTGGAAGGCAAGTTCTGCCTTGCAGATTTTGCATTGCACAGGTTTCTCTTTCATTTTCTTAAAAWGATACCAGAGCCTGTCTGTATAATGTCTTGTGACGTCCACYGCCTACCCCAGTTATCACTACTGAGAATGTGTGTCAAGGACAGAAAGGCAGATGTGGCAGTGGAAGGTGTCAAAGCAGTTTGGAGAGAAAAACAGAGTAGAAAACAAACAAAAAAAGAAAATGATTAATCGATTATTAAATTAGTCATCGATTATTTTAATAATCGATTAGTCGTCGACTAATCGACTAATCGTGGCAGCCCTACACCATGATATTGTAGACCATTAGCGACAACYTTACGCAAGTACTTTTACTTTTAATATTTTAAGTATTTTAAAAGCAAGTACTTACTTTTACTCAAGTAAAAATGTTAATGTGGTACTCTTACTTTTCTAGAGTACATTTTTGTCTGTTTATCTGTACTTAAGTACAGTGTTTGAGTATTTTCTCCACCAATGGAGCTGCAATCACCTAAGATGTCACAGCTGGATGTTTTCACTTCAACACAAGAACCCCTCATTCTGTGTAGAAAAAAAAACACAACAAGATTTAGATGTTTTTCTCCTCTAAAAACGACGACAGATTAAGATTTTTATCTTGCATTGTACTATGTTCCACTCATTTAGTTGAGTTACAATTGTTTGTAGGGAAAAATTACAAGATTATCTCATAAAACTTGTGATGCTGAAGTTACAGTAATTTGTTATCTTTTAGATTAAAATACTGACAAATAAAAAAAAATGAACCAGCAAACTTTATAAAAGCTTATGTCAAACTATTTCCCCCTCCTTTAGTTTTGTTATAGAGATTTTAGCAGAATGGTTTATCCCAAGAGCTGACATCACCAATCTTAAGATAAAAAGTTCAACACTGAGACAGGATAAAACAAAAAAAAAAATGTGATTAAAAAGATTTCTATAATTTCAGCATACATCAGTTGAATCTGTTATAAACAGCTGGATGGAGAGGAATTAAAGCTTTACAGAAAATAGCAGCACAAGCAAAAAGCAACACTTTAAATAACCTATTTTATCCGCCAAAATTATCAGAAATTAAACAATAAAAACTGCTAAAGTCATATTTCGGAGTCAAAGTAAGTAAAACGATAAATTATGCAAACCAATCTTAGGTTAAAAAGCCCCAAGGGAAGAAGAAATAGCTGAGGGATGTGGAGAGATGCTCTTCAACCTGACGAGCTCCACAGTAGCTTTCAGTACGAGGGGTGGGAGGGAAAATCAATTTTTAAATGCATCTCAGACATGCAACATTATTAAAGGATGTTTTTAAATGTCAAAAGTTGATTTTGTGCTCTGTGTTGCCACTTTAAAGGTCTTTTTTTCTACAGCTTAGATCAAAATCACCTTCATCTGTTTCACTAAAGCCTGCCCAGTGGAAAAAACATCTGATTCCCAGAGAACCAGCATCAAAAAAACAAGGATTTCTGCTCCAACCTCCAGTAACCACTTTAACTTCCTACACTTCTTCACCACCTGAGGTGCAGATTCTCCACTTCACAAAGCATCGCTGAACTCTGCTCCCCCTGCGATACACTCTGTTCTCATCTCAGACTTATGGCAGCGTTGGCACTGATGTGAGGTTTCAGCTTTATTTCTAATTCAGCAGTTTGCAGGGGAAACCTGCACAGTTTGAGCTGAGCTGAAGTGGTTTATTTATTTATTTATTTGCTCTTTTCTTTTTTTTTAGATGCCTGGGAGGTTTTACCTGTACTCATGGCTGTCCTGGAATCTTGCTCTGTTGCCAATTCGCGGCGTCTCCATTAGCAGTTTGTGAGTGAGCTGGCTGCTCGGCGGCAGGTCACACTCAGGCTGCCCCTCTGGCCCCTGGTCACATCTCCACTCCTCGTTTTCATTTAAAGTTGGTAAAAAAAGCGAAAGTCCCTTCGCTTCCCCAGAAACAMGGCTCTGATCGCTGCGCGGCTTAGGGCTCTCGCCTCCTGTCCGTGTGTATTCCAAATAAATGTCGGACTTTAAAAACAGAGGGTAAGTGTTTTCCTCCATCATGGTCTGTATCTCGGTCCGAGCCTGTTCAAACATGGCGGGATCAATGAGGAGCCTCATCACGCAGTCTTTAATAAAAGACTTAGTGGCTGGTTTGATCTGTCGGGAGACGATCCCATGATTATCCTGAATGTACGTTTTGTAAATGACTTTTGCCCGTTTTATCTTCTTCTCCTCGTTAGCCTCGTTGGCTTCGAGTTTGCGGAAGCCGATGCACGCAAACCAGAAGTCGAGCATGTCGGCACACTCCTCCTGCTTGAGGAACCTCCTGAACAGATGGATGCCATCCTGATCGTCCAGCAGAGAATGAAGCGACTCGGCCCATTTTAAGTAGGGTGGCGTCGGGGAAGCGCTGCCCTCTGGCTCATAATCCCGGTCCAAGTCCGGTCGCCGCGGCGCGGCCGCCAACGCGTCACGTTCGGCGCTCTCACTCTTGGAGGAGAGGCCAGGGTGGCCGGGGTGGCCGTGCTGGCGACCGTCACCGCACACCAGCGCTCCTTCTTCCCCGGGTACTGGAGGTCGGGGAGCATCCTCAGTGAAGCTGCCTCCCAGGTCTGCTCCGCAGCCCCTCTGGTCGCTTATGCTCATAGTCACGGCATTCAAAACCTCCGTCCCCGCAGTGCCCGAATCGCACAAGTGCTGGATCCAGAATTCTGCTTATGCCGCTGAGAGAAAACTCCTGCAAGGGAGAAGAATACATAATGAGATGCAGCTCACATGACTGCAAGGCAGATCATTGCTCGCCTCGTCAGGATATCGCTCCTGTACTCCTTTACCACAAAGAGATCATTCTCAGATTAATGTCAAACCTTTTTTTTCCCGACTGGTGACGTTCGAAGTCGGAAGAATTCACAATAAGCAAATATGTGACAATAAGTTTAAGTCTCTGTTAAAAACTCATCTGTTTAAACAGGCATTTGAGTCTGACGAGCATGATCATTAGGCCGGCCTTTGCTGTTTTGTTTGATTTTATTGTTCATTTTATTACTGTACTTTGTTCATTGTTTTTATTTTATGCTCCTGTACAGCACTTTGGTTTTTATTGTGCTTTATAAAGAAACGATGATGATGATGATGATGATGATGATGTGAGATGATGTTTGCAGCTTTGTTCTCTTTTCCACCTTTTTTTTTATTTTTTTTGTTGATTTTGTGCTGTTTATTGTGGCGTTCCTTTCTGCACCACCACTCGAGCTCTGCACAAGAGATTTCCCAACACCTGGTGCATGTTTGAAACTAAAATCCGCCTGATAAACAAATGGATTATTGACTCATTTTTGCACCGAACCTTTAAAGGGATCCCCGATGAGTTGTAACATTAGACTTTATATGTTAAACATATACTTTAACTGTAAAATAAAGACTAAAAATACTGTAGGATGTTCAGTTTTTACAATTTTTAAAATAAAAGTTTAAAAATATATTACACGGATGGGGCCATTTTATTTACACGCAAAGCATTCTGGGTAAATGATGACATCAACTAGGTCATCGGCACGAGGCTGCTAGCGAGCTATATCCACCCTGAAGGTTAATCTTGGACAATATCTGATGATCGACTCTTTTAAATGAAACCTGAGAGCGTTGACAGAGAGGAGAAGGTAGAAATGACTTAGCCTGGAACTGAAAATATGGATGGAGGACAACAGAGCTGCTTCATGGAAGAACCTCAGCTTAGCCTGTTAGCTTTAGCGTTAGCCCCGACGCTATCACCATATATATGTATTAGCTCAGTGCTACACATTCTCCTCTCATCACTGAGYTCCTRCATCCACATGACAGAGAGGGGAACACAAAAATGAATCAGCCTGCAACTGAAAATATGGATGGACCTCAGTTTAGCTTGTTTGTCGCGCTAGCGCCGAGCTATTACATATAAGGCAATATAGCGTGAGGGCTAGCACGAAGGCTAACAGGCTAAGCTGAGGTTCTTCTTCCATGAAGCAGCTCTGTTGTCCTCCATCCATTTCAATTAAAGGCTGAGAGATTTGAGTCGATCGTCAGATATTGTCCAAGATTAACCTTCAGGGTGGATATAGCTCGCTAGCAGCCTCGCACCGATGACCTAGTTGATGTCATCATTTACCCAGAATGCTTTGCATGTAAATAAAATGGCTCCGTCCGTGTTAAAATATATTTTAAAAAAATTTACTAAACTAAACAGCCTACAGTATTATTAGTCTTTATTTTACAGTTAAAATAAATGTTTATCAAATAAAGTTTAATGTTACAACTAATCGTGGATCCCTTTAAGACAGGGTCTGCAGGATGAATTCCAGAAACTGTCTGAAGATCAAGTTCAAAAATAAACATAATCGACTTGATTAGCAGATGGTAGTATTCCTTAACAGAACACATATCATCTGCTGGATTTTGTACCAGCTTTAACAAAAATCATCTTATAAGAAAGGACAAACATTACGCACGATCATGTCATTCCAGAAGATCTAGTGAGATGTGTGAGCGCTCAGAGAATATCATGGGGTTCACTATAAGCTATCATCACACAAAATTAAGCTCAATGGGCCTCATGCAGGAACATGTTCGTATTCTTATCCTAAATTTCTCTTACTTTTGTTCGTACAAAGGGTTCGTACGAACATGTCACATCAGATTCAACAAACTCTTCTATCTTCAGGAAAAGTGTGTAAATGAGCTGCGTAAATTCCACCTGTTCGTATCCAGCTGCTCGTGCACGTGAGAGGAGATTAGCATAATTACCACCCCKAAAACACCARATAAGGCTATGTTTCCTGCCTCAGATACAAGGAAGTGTCCATTCATGAAAAATGACAGCGATAATTAAAAAGAAGAACTTTACGAGTTCAGAGATTGAAGTCCGTCTGTCAGAGATCCAGAGAAGAAAATCTGTCATTTTTAGCAGGTCAGCTGTGGAATAAAAAGAGCTGCTAAAAGTATAAACAACTGTGTTAAATCATTTTCGTTTATTCAGAAGCCATACCGTACCCCAGTCTGGATAACAGCAGACTGACTGCTCGTAAAATATACGACAGGTCTGGACCACTCATGTATCTGAAGAAAATCTTAGAATACGAAAACATTGGTGAATGTCACAAATTCTCCTAAATCACTCGTACGCACAACTTAAGAACAAATCTGTGCGTACGAACGGTTCTTGCATGAGGCCCAACGTCTGTAAAACTGACAGAGTTAGAGCCATTTATGTGTTTGTAATGTCAAATCGCTGTGGAGGCCCTGTGTGAGGTTAAATTATAACTAAATTATCTCTAGATGTGAGTGAGATCTTGAATAAATGATTCTTTTTTGTCTCTTAGGTGGACTTGCAACCAGTCTACGGTGCTGGAGATGAGCCTACTGAGAAGAAACAACAGTTATAAAAAAAATGGATGGACGTTTTGACATATTGATACCTCCAGCCACATGCTGATTTTAATTAATCCCCCCGCTGTTAGCAGATTCGGCTGGCTGATGAACGAATTCAGGAGAATGTGTTCTCAAGGATGCATTTCGCTGTTTGGCTGGAGCGCACGGCTTATGACTAAGCTTCCCAGTATATTTAATTTAAGGTCTAATATGGCCACAGCTGACTGTTTAAATTCACACGCCCACGCTGGAATCTGACAGCTGCTGGCAGATCCAAATCCTGGTGAAAATAAATAAATACGTAAACAAAACAAAACACCCCAACTCTGAGTTGGTCTCACATTTCCAGTGTAAATTACTTTCCTGTTTATAAATCTGAGCACTTGTTGACTCTAATAGGATTAAAGATGAACGAGGGGGTAAAAAATAAAATAAAATAAGATGATTATTATGATTTTATAAAGGCTGACAGCAGGGTTAACTGTGATTCCAGGAGAAATATCATTTAATGGTTGCCAGCACCCTTTCCTTTAGGGCACACCTACTCTCTGTGTCCGCTCCAATACAGTCATAAAAATCAACAATGCTGGTGCGAGCAGCGCGTGCACCTTGCGCGAGGCCAGATGTGCGGGGGGGGGGGGGGGGGGGATTAGAATCCCACAAAGGAGGAGGTTTAATGCCTTGTTGAGCAGCTGGAGTTAAATGATGCTGAAGCCACCATCACCTGCCTCTCTGGGCGCTCGCGCATCCTTCCCCACCTGGATGAAAGGGATCATCATGGCGTCAGGTTCGTGAACGGAAGCTCGCGTTCAGACAAAAAGGTCGAGCTCCGGGAAAATGTCATTTAGAGATGAAAACCGCGAGGCTTTTCTGCACGTTTTTTAATTTTATTTTTTATGTCTCGGCCTCTTCAGAAGGAGCGGAGAGCGGTGGGTGGGGGAGGGGAGCCGAAACAAACTCCACACACACACACACAGCCAGGGCCTTCCAGCAGCCCACTGACAAGTGCACAACTTTCTCACACTATTAATACACCCCCGCAGGAACCCGCAAAAAAAAAAAAAAACAGCCGCGAAACTGAACGCGCGACACAACCGCCCGCTAGCGTTCTCATCAGCCCCGCCGCAACATCAAACGCACCCGGCAAGAATCCCGCACCGATTTATATACAAATCTATTTCCCCGCATTACAAGTCTGAGAAGGAGGAGGAGGAGGAGGAGGAGGGGGTAAAAAAAAAAAGTGACAATACTTCACCGGTGGAGATCTTCCGCCTGCTTTCCTTTATGTCGGCCAGCTGGACCGACACAAGTTAGGACAAGCCCTGGCATAGCTCCGACGTGCGGGACTTTAAAATCAACAAAGAGGACAGTCGGCTCTTCATGGCTGAACGTGAGTCGGTCTGAGCCGAGCTGCTGAGGCTGCTGCACGCACACAGCAGATCCTGCACAGCGCCCCTACCGGTCACTGCGCGAACTGCAACCTGTCAGGTGCACTCATGACCTCCCTCTCTCTTCCAACACATGTACTTACCAAAAACATAAAGGCATATTTGAGCAAATGTTATTTATACACAAAAAAATTACTGTGCTAATAAATTATATACCTGATAATTGTAGATCTATAACATACAAAATTGTTATCAATTGCCTCCGAAGGCTCATTGTTAGAAGAATAGAAATAGCCTTTATTGTTGCGCCGAGGGGAAATTCAGGTGTCACAGCAGAGGTTCACACGTTAGTCTACTTTACAAACTATAGACATTACACAAAAAATGAAATTAACACTGACAACGATACGACAACTACTAATAAAAATATAATATAAAGAATTGCGCAAGAAATAAAAAAATATATGTTTTGTTTTAGAGGCAGTATCAGAATCTGACATTAGGAATCAGAATTTTCCTTTTTTCAGTGCAAAATGATCTCAACCAACTTAAATGTAAAGTCTCACAGTGCGGACAACACAGATGTGCAATTACAGCCGAATTATTTTAAAAGTTTAAAGTTTAAAATGGGTAATAAAGTTTAAAATGGGTAATAAAGGGGTTACCACATGTCTGTGTTCACTTATCTGAAGCATCTGCAAAATATCTTGGGTAACAAGGAAGCTTTGACGGAGCTGATCAAACAAGAGTTCATTACGGAGCCACTTGCAGGTTTTTATTCTCACCACAAACTGCACCACATGACACATATGCGCAGAAGATACTTTGATCAGTTAAATCAGTTGACTAAGAGGAAGTTATATTTTCCTGTTTGCTCTGCCATGAAACTGTTTTGTCATACACTGTGCCACAAGGAGAGGAGTATCCAAAACTCAGAAAAAAAAATACTTCAAGCAAAAAGGTTTTTGCTCTCAGTATGTTACAGCCAAGTGCAAAACAACAAAACAATAAAAGCTGACATGTCCATCCACACTTTGTATCATTGGATAAAACTACAAGCTATATTTGAACATCTCTTGATATAATTTCGACACGAGAAGAACCATTTCCAGGACTTTTTTTAAAACCAATTTAATAAGCAAATGTGTCAGTTCAAACAGTGCCTTGTTGTGCTCACAGCCCTCTTAGAGGCACTTGATCCCGTCATTACTGGAACAACTTTAAAGTGCAAAGAGGAACGGATCAAATGCATCGTGTGCTTTGACTGCCGGCAATCATCCAGCAGGCACACAGTTTTAGAAGTCTAACATGAAAGGTTGATGAAGCATCATTAAAACATCCAAATGCTTCTAATTGTGTACTTTAATGGGAGCGTTTGAGCGATGTAGCAAGAACATATATTTCACACTCTGTCTCTTCTGATCGCCTGAAATCTCTGCTCAAACCTGAGAGCTCCGCAAGAGGTTTGCAAAATTTATGTGTGAGAAATGTGACTCACAAAAAAAAAAAAAAATCCAATAGTTACTGATTTCTTGAGACGAGAAGGGCTATTAAAACCTCCCCGTCAGTTCGGGATTTTCAGCTTTTCTTTCAAGTACTCAGAGGCTGCAAATGTCAACAAAAAAATGCGTTGCGTGTGAATAAACAGGTGTTACCTTGAGTTTGATTGTCCTCCTTTTGCATCCAGCAGCTGTGCAACTTTTTACCGAGGAGTCCATCGTCTGGGTGCGTAACACGGCACGCAGCAGGAAAAGTGAAGCCGCTTTCACCTCGATTAAAGGCAAACGTCTGTCTGGAGACGAACGTCGCCTTAAGAGTTTGTCTTCGCTGCTCATTTGTTCCTAGAATGTAGGAAATAAATGTTATGTTAAATGCATGTTTCTTGTGCAAAATAATGACATTATTGACTGCACAATAAAAAAAATTACAGAAAACAGAAAACACATTTTATTTGTTGCAATGGATGCATGTWGAATATGAGGTATACTTTTCAGTGTTTGATACAAAAACTGGTGAGGTAGCATGGTGCCCTCTGCTGAGATAAAGTTTTAGCAACACTCATTAAAAATGTGTTATGAACACACATTTTCTTTTATCCAAACAGACACAGCAACATAAAAAATATATACATTTTTTTGCATTACTATGATTATGGTTTAATTATAAAATCACAAAAAAAACTCGTGTTTTGTATCAATGCAGCTCTCAGAAACTTTCTGCATTTTTTTCCTTTAAATACGCCCCTTAGTTCTTTCTACTCTCAAACGGCCAGCTGCAGTTAAGTCCTCCCAGAAGACAACTTCATGTCCCCTGATTCAGTTCTTTCAGCACGCCTTTGTTCCACCTGTCAGTGTGGATTTACATTTCCTTGTAGACTTTGGCTGAAATAAGCTTATCTCTGCTCAAGACCCTCTGAAGAACAAAAGCCTGTGAAAACATTTAGACAAGTGTTCTCCAAGTGCTCACAATCAAGATTGCTTCYTTTTAAACACGGGTTTTAACGAAGAACTCTTGATTGTTCTGAAAATAATCTAAAGATTGATATCAAAAGAGTTCAGAAAATGTATTCAGGAGTCCTGCCGATGTCCTTTGTCCAGGTTGAATAAATCATGACTAACAAGTCTCGTGGATTAGGCACAGAAGATTGAGCAATTTGCAGACTTGAGTTGATTTTTTTTTTGCTGAATGTAATGCTTGTGATATTCCTACAAAAAAAATGGGGGAAACGCTTCCAAAAAGGCCTACATTTCTGATGGCAATATGGCGATTCATGTTGAACCATGGAACAAAGGATGAACCGCCAAGATAAAACACATTTCAAATGTATCTGCTCAGTTTATTGTGGTCTTCAGTCGTCTGTTCAGGAGATCTACATTCACTGGTCAGATCAAATGATGGGCTTTMTTTTGATGAGAGCGAGGATGCAACAAAACAGCATGGCACCGACATGAAACAAAAAAAAAACGGAAACGGTCGCAGACGTATTAGAACGATGAACGATACAAAGGAAAGTTTCCATTCTTACTGAAGCAAAAGCAGACGTTGTACCTGATCATTTTCCGTACTGCGTGCCTCCTGATTCTGACCGCAGACAACTCCCATCGCTCTTCTAGACGTCGAATTTYCTCCTTCGTAGTCTGCGGTGAAGATCACCGCCATCTTTAATCACAGCAGAGTCCATCTGTCGGTGGTTCTTCCCTTTCTAGTCTCTCTTTCTGCGTTTCTGTCTCTGTGTTCCAGCCCTCCGTTTGTTGTGTGTGTGTGTGGTGGGGGGGGGGGGTGTCTTATTTTTCATCCAACATCAAACCGGCGTATCGATGGGCCGCCCAGCAGGGGGGCAGCTTGAACATGCCGCGGTGACTGTTGTCCTTTTCCAAGCTGAAAATTAACCACCAATTTTTTTATTTTATTATTTTTTTCAGTATTTTGTGACGGAAACATAAAAAAACTATTCCAGGTTTTAGATCTTTGATTTCAACAAGCCTGACCTAGAAATTCATCAATGAGTTTAATGAAATGTCCCCGACTGTATCTTTCCTGTTGATGTTGCGAGCGATGAGGATTTAAGCTCTTTCTGTTTGAAACTTTATTTTTAAAAGAAATACTCCTTTGGATGGCCATCATGAGAGAAAAAAAACTTTTGTTCTTCTTGAACAAAGCTTAACTGGCATGTTTTAAAACCAACTGAAACTAAATTCTTAATTTGTCAGTTTGCTTTTGTTCCCATCTAATGCCAATACACTTATCACCCATCACTGAAGGCAAAATAATGTTTTTAATCAGTTCTGTCTGTTTGTCTACACAGTTAGTAAAAACATATCATAAATCCAGCCACTGATTGGAATTAAACTCTTAGAAAGAAACTTGGCCTACACCTACGATGCACTTTGGGATGGTTGCCACTCGTCACATTGTGTAAAACTAAAAATGGCTATAACTCAGTCAGCTTTACAGATATTGAGCAAAAGATTTGATGTGGTAGCAAATGAAAAATTGTCACAAAACATAATGTGATAAAGTTTTCTCCAGAGGTCTATGAGGTACTTGAGAAAAATAACAAAGTAAAAGTAAAATTACATGAACAGAAAATGACTTTGGTGAAAAAGAAAAAAATTGTACAGGTRTTCTGGACGGGTTCTTCTCTAATGAAACGTTTCGTCTCTCCTCCAAGAGACTTCTTCAGTCTGAGAGTTTCAGGCAAAATTCAGGCTTTTAAGCKCTGCCTCCATGTGACTGATATTCACATCACATGGCTATCGTTGACACCTAATTAACACTTATTGTTAACAGGGGGTGGAGTGATACTGGCAATAGCAGCGCTGTAGGAGGGGGACAACTGAAAACGGAGGCCTCCACCTCTGTTTAATGATGGACGGTCTTTCTTCACAAAAATGGCTTCTTTTACTCCTCTCTCAAACCAACGTTCCTCTCTATCAAGAATGAGAACATCCTCATCTCTGAAAGAGTGACCGCTGGCCTGTAAATGAGTGAAAACTGCAGAGTTCTGGCCATTAGATGTAGCTCGTCTGTGTTGGGACATTCTTTTGAACAGTGGTTGCTTTGTTTCCCCGATGTATAACTCCTGGCACTTGATGATCCAAATACCAATGTTTTTCTTTTTGATTTTTTACCTGGATTACTGAGATGCATCAGGAGACTTTGGTGAAAATAAATTTCACTGATGAGAAAACTAAAGTAAAAGTCATAAAACTGTGCACAAAATTTGGGAAAGTAAAAGTACTTTTACACACTCTCTAAGAACTAAACTGTTGAATTTACTGAACCAAACTGGTTCCACTATACCAGGTTGAGTAAATTGAGCAATAATATTGAGTAAATTAAATAAAATGTATATACGTATGTATATTCTTTGCTCAGTTTACTCAATTAGGCTTAGTGGAGCCAGCAGACATGACTTCGTTGAGTAAACGCAACACTTCATTTTTTTAAAGTGCATAAGCATCTTCTTTTATGATGAGTTTGAACATATTTAATTTAACAACCAGTGGTGGGCAGCACTAATCAAAAAAATAGTTCCACTAGCCCTAAAACACTAACTCAAATGTTTAGGTCCCCTAATTCTAAAGCAATAATGCACTGAAAGTTTTAGCCAAAGCTAAATCTAAAGCACTAAAARAACCCAGTCAACCCATGAACATTCTTCAACAGACAACATGAGTCACATGTTGCTCTGTTAAGCCTTATCACTGACATTCCACAGCTGTATTTGTACATATTGTCAATATATTGTCACCTAGGGGATAAGTGACACACGTATGAACAAAATGTGACAGCTTTCACTGTTAGCTGTTAACAATGTTGATCAAAAACATATATAGACCTCAGTTAGTTGCTTCTAAATTTAGCCTATAAAGTTGCCAAGTGCTAATCCACTAATACATTTTAAAATTAACAAAAGCCCCAAAGCACTAATCAGGAAATTAATTCCCCTATTAGTGCTTTAGGGAAATTGTGCCCGTCACTGGTAACAAGTATCTAGGTGTTACATCTTAAAGAAGTAAAGGTATCATTTTAGCTTTAAAATGTAACAAAATAAAAGTAAAAGTATAGCTATTTTAAAAATAATTGGTAAAATTACAAATCCTCTAAAAAAACTACTTAAGTACTGTAACGAAGTAAATGTACTTAGTTACCATAAACCTTTAGTTTTCTCGCAACACCCCATGAGATATTTTTTTTAGGTTTGACCAAAATGGCTACAACTCTGTCAACATAAGATGATCAAAGCCTAAAAGTTAATCAGATCTCATAAGGGTAGATGCCTTCACCTTCCTCTCTCATTGTTTTGCTTGTTGGATCATGTTTCTGTGGTCCACCCAGTCTTTGTGGACCACAGTCCCCTGTCTGTCACCCAACAATACGTCCCGTGACTCATGAATCTGTTCAAGTGTGAAACTTGAGCATCTTTATGTTGCAGCTGTGAGATTCTATTGGAGGAGGGGGATGAAAACAACAACAGAGAAGCATGTCTGCTCAGTCATCTTGTCGCTGTGGCAACAGGCCCAAACACTATCGGGAAAAGCATCTGATTTATCCACACAAATTAGGCTAGGACATTTTGAGAGGATTGTGAATGATGCAGAGCCGCACCAAATCAAAGCGATTACACTGAAACACAACCCAAGATTATTTTAAAATGTTTATCGACCTGCTTTACGGAGTTGTGGAAAACAGCTCAGAGATGCAGATCAATGCAAAGAAAGGAGAAGAGAAATGGGCGAAAAGGGAAAAAAATGAGGGTGGGGGGGGGGAGAAATGATATTGCCTTTGTGTTGCAGCTTTATCAGCTGCTTACCTTTCATCCAGATTTCACACTCGCACGTCGAGTTGTGACCAGGGTCAGGTCCGTCTCACAATGACCAGTTTTCTCCTCAAGCTGCAGCGGTCGGTGTTGGGAGCCACTTACGCTTGCTCGGGTGCACACGGTTTATTTCTGTCTCTGAAAGCACAGAGACAGAGGAGAATGTAAGAAAACGTAAAATTGAAATGTGAGCATAAGGGACTCAAAGTAGCCTAACTAAATTCAAATAATTTGTTATTMTACTTAAGTAGTAATTTTGGTTATCTGTACTTTACTTGAGTAATCATTTTTTCAGCCTACATTTTACTTCTACTCCTTACATTTTTAAAAAAGGTAAGAGGTAGAAAGTTGTCGCTTATGGGTTTTTTTTTCCATCTTGTTAATGTTAAAAAAATACTATCATGAAAAATTGTGCCTCTTGGATAGAGTGAATTTAACTGTGGTTGAATGAGGAGTATAAATACTGTATATACCATTTCTGATACCGTATTAGTTTGTACACAATCCATCACAGCTGTGCGCCCTTGGAAAAATAAACTGAAGCAGTCATCTCTCAATCAGTGTATTTTGGAAAATCTAACCYTTCATTTTTACTCAGTACTTTTACTTTAAGTACATTCTATTTCAGAAATTGTTGCCAATGTATCACTGTCATTTTCGACTCAGTAAAAAAATCTCAACGGTATTAATGCAACATTTTCTACTTATACGCTAGTAGACAACATAGACAAAGGTTTTGATTTTAAAAAATGTTTGCAAGTGCTTCCTATTGCATGACATCACATGCTTCCTGCTCCGTCCGACTGAAGACAAGATGCAAATCGTCCTGGACAAAGGTAATTAGCATAAAATTTCTTATGATTTTCCCCCAGACATATTTATAATTATTTCATCTTTCAAGTCTCTAGAGTAACACTCTCCACAAAAATTGTACCTAGGATATGGGTTTTTTTTGTTCACGGGCTTCTTTTTGTAAGAGGCAACAAAAGTTACCAATGGGCATATAGCTTGTCGCTAACTAAAGGAAAGCATGGTCTCCAGGATTGCACCAAATTTTCTTATTTCAAATTGTAGAATGTCTTATTTTAGTCTTCTAAGGATCCTCTTCCTAGTAAAATAAATTCTTATGTATTCAAGGCCTGTGTGTCTAAGATTTTTATTNTTCATTTTTACTCAGTACTTTTACTTTAAGTACATTCTATTTCAGAAATTGTTGCCAATGTATCACTGTCATTTTCGACTCAGTAAAAAAATCTCAACGGTATTAATGCAACATTTTCTACTTATACGCTAGTAGACAACATAGACAAAGGTTTTGATTTTAAAAAATGTTTGCAAGTGCTTCCTATTGCATGACATCACATGCTTCCTGCTCCGTCCGACTGAAGACAAGATGCAAATCGTCCTGGACAAAGGTAATTAGCATAAAATTTCTTATGATTTTCCCCCAGACATATTTATAATTATTTCATCTTTCAAGTCTCTAGAGTAACACTCTCCACAAAAATTGTACCTAGGATATGGGTTTTTTTTGTTCACGGGCTTCTTTTTGTAAGAGGCAACAAAAGTTACCAATGGGCATATAGCTTGTCGCTAACTAAAGGAAAGCATGGTCTCCAGGATTGCACCAAATTTTCTTATTTCAAATTGTAGAATGTCTTATTTTAGTCTTCTAAGGATCCTCTTCCTAGTAAAATAAATTCTTATGTATTCAAGGCCTGTGTGTCTAAGATTTTTATTATATTAGACAGTGAGGAGTGATGAGGGGGAGGGAGTAGCCACTGATTGGGAAAGACCCAGAGACATCTGCCTGCTGCCATTAACAAAAACTCTTCAGACCTTAGTAACAGCCTCCTCTTGTGGTCAAACTAGAACAATACTTTTCTGTGATACTGTGTCTTTTTGTCAGGTCGTTTTACAGCCACACACCTGTTTCTTTATACT